CATATGTAGAGTATAAGAACAAAGGAAAACTGAAGGAAGAAAACAGCAGCAGAATCACAGAACCCAAGAATGGACTAATAGTTACCAAAGGGAAAGGGACTGGGGACGATGGGTGGGAAGGGAGGGATAAGGGCGGGGAAAAAGCAAGAGGGCATTACGATTAGCATGTATAGTACATGGGGGACACAGGGAGGGCTGCGCAACACAGAGAAGACAAGTGGTAATTTTACACCATCTTAACTACGCAGATGGACAGTGACTGTGAAGGGGTATGTGGGGGGGACTTGGTGTAGGGGGGAACCTAGTAAACATAATGTTCTTTCTGTAATTGTAGATTAATGATACCAAAATTTAAAAAAAATCTGCAAAGAAGTAAAAAGCTAACCTTTTCAAAGAAAAAAAAACCTTTCATCCAATTTTTAATGAATTCTGTTGAGTATCCTGTTGATAAGGAGAAAAAAAGGAAAGCTACTAATGATATGTCTATTATTTAAAAAAGAAATATTTCAGAAAAAAAATTTAAGGTGAATTCTTTATTTCTGTTCTTCTGAGTAGATCTATGTTATATGATTTTGCTCTTAATCCAAACAATCAACAACGGGATTTTACTATGTATCTATGTGATTGTATTTCACAAAAAGCATAATTTATTTTGCCTTAGGAAAGGAAAAATATAAATTCAAACAAGTTGGTTTTTCATATTTACTTTAGGAAAATAACAACTATAAACTTATTTCATCTATGAAAACATTAAAGCAATTCCTATTACTTAAAATTCTATTTGTAAAATAGGTTCTGAGTTAATCAAAATATTTTTTAAATGTCTAGACACTTGCTAAATTAGGCATCAATGTTTATATTAATAAATGAAGAAAATAAACATGGGTCTTACACATATCTCAAGAAAATCCTTAATAATTACTAGTCCTTTTTTTACAGGCAAGAAATAAAGACAACAGGATAAATGTCAGCAAAATGTAGTTATAACTTTTTATTATCACATTTTAGAAAAATGTATTTTTCTAGAGGTTGCAACTATAAAGTCATCTAAATTTTTGCAATGACTTTTAAATTTCTGATGTTAACTGCATTAGTTAACCTGGGCAACTAGAACACTGCTCTACCTGTAAACAGTGTGTGCATGTTAACATAGGCAGTATCTGACCACTCCTAACGCTGATAAGATATTTGAAAGATACTTTTATAGGACAAACAATTTAAACAATAATTTTCAGAAGGCCAACACATGTTCCTTCCTTTACTCAACTTTCATAATAAACATAATCCACATTTAGAATATTCTTATTTATATTAATTTTTTGGATATTCCTTTGCATAAAAGAAGCTATTTAGGAACCCTGAGCAAAGAACCTTACCATTTGTTACAGATGACCAACAAATTTTGTCTTTTTTCTGCTTTACAGGCAAAAACTACATTTCCACAAATAAAATGAGTGTTGGGTTAGTTAACTTGAGCTAGTGGTCAGACCACGATGCTATAAGGCTAAATGACCACTTGATCATTGATCCCACCAATTAACTTTCATCTACTGCAGTGTCACAGGCAGCATCAAAACCCCTGGTGGTCAGTTCCTGGGTCACAAGGACAGCCTGCCAAACATGCAGCTGGGGCAGCACAAATCCACTATCGCAATGTTCTATTTATCAAGTTTACTACAAATCACGTAAGAGCTGTCATCTGGGAAAAGAACAACAGCACACCCAGTGGATCCTAAAACATGATAATCTAAGAGGTGAAAGTGTAAATCTATTTTTAAGATGCTAAATTGAAGAAATATTTTTAAATCCAAATCCATTTCTATTCATAAATGTTTATACTCTGAATTTTAAAATGTCACCACATTAAATTGAGTCCCATTGATAAAGCATAATGGTGGCAGTAACATCCTACTTTATTTAAAATATATAAAAAGATGACAATCCCTTTAACCCCTCAGATTTACTTAGTGATCCCTTTAACCCCTCTCAGCTTTATTACTCTAAGAGGAACTATACCTTCAAATTACAATAACAATTATCTTCCAGGGAAAGACAAAATGGTTTTTGGTTTGTTTTTTAAATTACTAGTCATAACTGCAAGCTACTCACTTTTCCACTATCAATTTCCCATCTGACTTAGAACTTTTTCCATAATACCTGTGTGAAGTCATGGAATCACCAGGAGTCCTTCAGATTTGCCTCTCCTAAAAATAGTTAATTCCCTGAGAACAGAGGGCTTCCTCCAGTTCTTCCCATCTGCAGTCCATTACAAAGTATAAACTGACACACTACATGGTATTATTTACTCACAGATCAGCTTCTTTCAATTACTATGAAATTCTGCAGACAGAGTGTGTATCATCAACCCTGATACAGTGCCAGGCCAAAAAAGACTTTTGAATACATTTAGTGAAAAAATGAAATACTGAACCTTTTGATTCTCTCCTACCCAACTCATAGCAGCAAAGCACCCTACAAATATGGACAGTTGTATTCTTTATATCTTTTGAATCTATTTGCATATTTTGAATCTTTAATCCAAGACACATTCTTTCTTTTCCTACTGGCCATACTTTGAACTGCCTCTTTGGAGGAAAAAGCCTTGGATTATGTCTGGCTCATTCTCCAATACAAATATTCCCTACAAGATAATACAGAGGTCAGTATATGTATAATCAAGTAAATTCTCAGAATACCATCCTTGATTAAACATACATTCCTTACAAAATTTATGAACCTATAAATTTTAACACCTTTTTTTTTTTTCACTTTACACTAAGACTTGAGAATGCCTCTCAATATAGCTGAAGTTAAGAAGGATGCCTAGAGGGATGAAGGTGAGAACAAGAAAAGAAAAAAAAAAGATCGTAGTGAAGGAACAATTTAACATACTTGCTCCATTTACACCTTTATCCCAAGAAAATTTAAATGGGAAGGAAAAAACGGAGGTAGAACCTGTGACTTTGAATAAGCCATAAAGAAAATATACTGAATTTTCAAACTGTGCATTTTAATCTATCCTTTTAATAATTTTTAAAGAATTCTTTTTATCCACAGAAATCTTCTGCTTCATCCAGGCACAGCTGGATCTCATCTCCCCACTCTCCCCCGCCTCCACACACACACAGCGCTACCACTATGAGTCCCTGTGCCAAACAACCATCACAGGAAAAATTAAACCCACAGGATCGCTTCCTAATTTTCTCTGAAAAAATAGTCACAATTCGTTTTCCCAGAGGAAATTTACCTATTCTAATGGGCCTGGGAGCGAGGGGGTTGCGGGAACAGCTTATTATCATGCAGTTTCTTATTCTCCATAGATAGGAAAATGGCAATAACTTCCGACAAGGGACAGCTGCTCTTCTAGTTTATCCCCGTTGAGAATCTAAAATCCAAATGGGCAAAAAGCAAATCTCTTGAGGTATTCACACGAATAGAAAACAGAGGCACTTTACTTTGCAGCAACACATCCCCTTAAAAATCCTCCAGACGTGGGGGTGGGGGTGGTGACCTATCAATCCCCACACCCCTGCCATATGGGGGAACAGGATTCTGTCAAATAGAAAATGACACTCCGCCTTCTCCGCCATCCTGAACTGACCGGCACCGAGTGCGGGGGCGGCGGAGCGCAGGAGAGGCGAGAGGTGGGGACAACACGCTGCACCGAGGGCAGATTCCTAGCTTTTAAAAACGCTCTAAAGCTACAATGTCCTCCAGCTGGAGGATTCTCACCCACTGACCAAACCCAGCTCCCACCCTGCTCCCCACCGCCCCACCGGGGGCCCCGCGGGGCCGCGGCCTCTGCCCGGCGCGCCCGGCGCCCCCTCCGCCCCCAGGCTGGCGGCCCCGGCCGGGGATCCCCACGCGCCGCTCCGCACCCCGAGGCCCCGGGCGCCCAGGCCGGGAGGGACGTCGCACCTGGATGTAGTTGTTCTCGCAGTAATCTGCCACCCGTTCCAGATTCGTGTAACTGTCGAAGAGGGCCCGGCGGCCCCCCGGGATTTCCTCCTCCAGCAGCATCTGCAGCTCCGCCATCTTCACATCCTCCTCCTCCTCGTGAAGACCGAGGAGGTAGCGGCGAGAGCAGCGCCAAGGAAACCCAAGGCTGCGAGAGGAGCCGCGGCGACGCCGGCCACGGTACCTCAGGAGGAGCAAGAAGCCCCGCGCGCAGGACAGGGGAGGGGGCAGCAGGCACGGGGGCGGGGCGCGAGCCGGCGGACTCCGAGGTCGGTCACCGCGGCGACGGCCGGCGGGGCGCGCGCACGCGCGCTCCCCTCCCTCCGCCCCCGGGCGCCCGAAAAAGATTCCCACCCTCGGCCGCGCCGCCCGCCCCTCCCCCGCTGGCGGCGTTTCCTAGCGACGGCGGGTGTGGGGCCGGGATGCGCGCGGGAGGCCGGCGCGCGGTTAACCCTTCGGCCCCCGCCGGCTGCACGGCTCGGGAAGTTCCCCGGCCGGCCTTTGTTAGTCTGGCGTGGGAGCGCTACCTGGCCCCGCCGTGTTCCCGCCGGCGCCGGCCGAGACTTTCCTCTGCTTTATTCCCAACCTGGGGCCGAACCCCTTGGCCGTTGGCCTGAGCGATAACAGCAACCCACAAAACTTCCATGCAGCTTTAAGTGCCCCCTTTTCATTTTTCTCATCTTTGACCTCGTCCATCCTTTCTGGTCAAGATAGGTGAATTTCAGTTTCCTAGCCCCAAATTTCCTGCACTCTGGCTTTTTTACACTTATTTGCCCACGAAAATCCGTTCCCCTTGCCTCGGTTAACCTCTGTTGTGTTCTCATTTGTCCGTCCCCTCAGCTTTTTGTGCTTGCCTTCTCTCTTATTTGCTTCCTCATTCACAACCTTTCTGTCATTTCTCAGGTTCTGTCAACTTGTCTTTTTTTTGTGGAATCACAAGTCAAAGTTTCGAAAACGGTTTTGCTGGTACTGATTTCCTTCTTCACCAGGCTGTTACGTGGTTAAATAGAATGCTAAATGCTACCAAAATTCAAGGTGGATCGTTTTTATCTTGCAGTTATTATTCTGTTCTTTTCCCCAGATTTTGAATTTTCTCCCTAAATCTATTTCACACAGTGTAATCTTAACCTAAAATTCCAGGCAATTGCTGGGATACTATAAATTCCATAACCTTTATTTGGACGCTTGGAAGTTAAGGCTAACATTTGTTGTGTCCTTGTTCTTTTGTCATCTCTTGGCCTTCCTACGGTGATTTCACCACCCTACCCCCACCCCACTAAGTAAAATGAAGTTCCACGGCCAGGATCCTTGCCTGACCCTAGTCTAGTTGCCCACCCTAGTCTACTTGCCAATTGCACACTTGCAATGCTCGCAGGCACATGCTTGCACACGTGTTGGCAATGAGCTATTACTGACTCTGTATGAGGTGCTCTGCCCAATGCTCTGTGGCAGCAAAGAGGCCTGGAGGCAGAGATGGACTTGATGCATGCAGACCTTCCCTGAGGCAGACGTGATTCTAGCTTTCGACCTGCCATCAGGAAAATAAAGCTTGGTGTAAGACCTTTACTCCCAAAACGCTCCGTTATTACTCAGTCTCAACAGATCCAGAATGAACTTGCCGGGCGGCTGAAAAACCTCAGGCGGAACACCCCCCTGTTTTTTCTAGATGAGGAGGAAACTTTATTACACTTTCTCAAAAAAACATTTAATGTGCCATCACACATTTCTGGAACAATCGCTGATATTACTATATTGGTTTCATATTACACATATTAGCACATTGTTTTGAGTTTTCACTGTAGAACCCAAATTAAAGGATATTGAAAATGATGGTCCAGTCCAACTAGTTTTATTCTCAACCACTTTAAACATCTTCTGTATTACTAGTTCTTAATCTTAAGTGTAACCTTCAGCTTGTTAAAAATGAGAGCTGCAAAATCACACTCTGGAGATTCATCAGACTGCAGTAGTGATGGAATAGCAGTTATTAAACGGCACAGAAACTTGTTTCAGGGAATAAGATACATCTAATCGAATAAAGTCAAGCAAACTTACACACTAAACTTCAATAGATCAAAAGGCTAATGTTAAACTGGGAGTAAAGGTAGAGAGTCTTCCCCTTTACACTTATTCCCACCTAGCATTCTTTCAAATACTGTTTTGCAATTAGCCCAACAAACTCTACCTGAGACAGGATTCATTCCTTATCCTAGGAATCACTGTGTGAACATTCTAGTACTTTTTCAAATCTGAAAAATCAAAGGGTTGAACTCAAGTCAGTTTTCTCAGACTTCATCGTGGATTGCAATCACTTGAAGGGCTTGTTAAAACACAGGGTTGCTAGCTCACACCAAGTTTCTGATTCAGTTGGTCTGCCCCAATTTAGTATGTCTAACAAGTTCCTGGGTGATGTTGATGAAACTGCCCCTCTGGTTATGAAGGTCTGATTCCAATTTCTAGCAGCTGGGAATCTTCACCAAGAGAAGGGCTTTTTAACAGCAGAATCTAAGGATCCAAGGACATAGGTATCCACTTCTGATGCCAACAAAATAATTTAAGCAAGGAGGAAGACAACTAGAAGATTTATAAAGTACATGGATCATGTGTACATATATATTATCTAAGTGGTGGGATTATAGGTTTTTCTGGCTTTGGTCATCTCAATTTTTCTAAAATGAACATGGAGTATTTTTCTGAGTCCAGTGAAACTATTGTCTCCCTAAATCAGACCTCATTTTACAGGCATACCTCATTTTACTGTGCTTCGCTTTTATTATACTTCACAGATACTGTGTTTTTCACTAATTGAAGGTTTATGGCAACACTGTGACAAGCAAGTCTATTATCGGTGCTATTTTTATAAAAGCATTTGCTCACTTTGTGTCTCTATGTCACATTTTGGTGATTCTTGCATCATTTTAGAGGTTTTCATTTGTATTATATTTGTTATGGTGATCTGTGATTTTAACTAGCTGAAATCTCAGACAATGGTTAGCATTTTTTAGCATTAAGTATTTTTAAATTAAGGTATTACATTGTTTTAGAAATAACTTAGTACATAATGCTATTGCACACTTAACAGACTACAGAATAGCATAAATATAACTTTTATATGTACTGGGAAACCAAGTAATTCCTTTGACATGCTTTCTTGCAATATTCAGTTTACTGCAGTGGTCTGGAATGAACCTCAACATGCCTATATTAATGCAGCCCAAATGACTTTTTTTCTAAGCAATTTTATAATCAGCTTGATTCCAAGTAAGCTTTAAAGACTCCTAGATTTTTACATTTTAACCCAGTCATGCCAACTACAGTATATATTTTCAAATCTAATTGCAGTTCTTTATATTTATTTCCAATAAATTATACTTGGCCTTTGTCCCAAATTTGAATCCTCATTACCATCTCTTGAAATAAAGAATCTTGTTTCACATCATCTACAGATTTGATAAGCAAGACTTTGGGGTTCATTTTAATAAGAATGTTCAACAAGTCAAGGCCAACAAGGGAACTGATGGCTTGCCCGTATAGATCTCACATTGTTGAGACCCAATATTAATATACAGTGAACTCCCCTTGGGATATGTTCCAAGACCGCCAGTAGATGCTAAAACTACAGATAGTACCAACCTTTATATATATTATGTTTTCTCCTATACATACATATCTCTGATAAAATTTAAAGTATAAATGAAACATAGTAAGAGATTAATAAAAAAATAGAAAAATTGTAATATAGTGTAACAAAAATTATGTGAATGTGGTCTCTCTCAAAATATCTCATTGTACTGTACTCACTCTTGTGATGAAATGATAAAATGTCTGCATAATAGGATGAAGTAGGGTGAATAACATGGACATTGTGACCTAGGGTTAGGCTTCTACTACATATGTCAGGAGGAGGATCATCTGCCTCCAGGCTATGGTTGACTGCAGGTAACTGAAACCACAGATAAGGGGGTACTACTGTACCTTCAATTTGGCCAGGTGTGAATGTACCTTAAAGAACTCACACTTACCCAGTATTTCATCATAGTCACAAGTCTGTGGACAAACTATCAACTTCTGCTGAAATGAAGATTCACAATGTAGAATTCTCTTGATGTACAATCATCCCAGTAACTCTATCCTTAAATGAGGAAATTAGGTAAAGAACATAATACAATGCCTGATAGTATGGGCTCTAAAGAAATAATAAAATGTTGTTTAACTGAACTGCTTCCATTGCTTTTCTTACAACCTCTAGGAAGCCTACCTACCCATCCACTCTAGACTTTCCTTCAGATTCTTCATGCACATCAACATGCTAAATTCATCTTAAAAAGTTCTAAGTATTAACTCTTTGCCCCCAAATTTTCTCTTATTAAATGACATAAACCTGTTAGCTTCAGCATCTTTAACATTATTGTTAGTTACTATTTAATGTCACTATTTTCTCATACATTTTTTAATTTATTAGAGAAGAAATAGCATCTATGTCACCTAAAGGTCTTTGTATATTGACAAGAGAGCAACTAGACTTACCATGGCAAGCATTTAGTAATGTACCTGTTGATTTACAATGCAGTACACCTGAAACCAACATGTGTATGAACTACCTTTCAATTAAAAACTTTTTAAATAAATTTCAAGAGAGTAGTAATACCAGCTTTTTTTAAACTAAGGTATCATTGATACACTCTCATGAAGGTTTCACATGAAAAACAATGTAGTTACTACATTCACCCATATTATCAAGTCCCCCCCACCCCACAGTAATACCAGCTTTTTCATATCCATACTGTGGCAGTTAGTATAGTATCTATTTCTTTTCCTGGTTGTACATTAAGTACTCGGAAACTTAAATGTCTTCTTTCTCCAAAAAGATACTTTAGACTGTTTTCCTTCATTTACCTTGAGAATTTCAAAACTAGTTTTCTGGCTGCTGTGTGATTTTTATCAGGCAAAACCAATTGGATATATATGTATATTATTTTATATATATAATATCTACTTCAATAAATAAATACATATACGAATACATATATTTCAATGAAATTTAAAAGAACTCCTTTTGTGCAGTTAAGCTCCCTGTTGAAGATATTGCACAGTACTCAAGAGAAATGCAAGCAGTTTTTACTCTAACAATAACATGGTTAAACAGAGTTCCCACTCCTTACTAAACAAGAAAATTATCACTAATTAATCTTTTCATAGTGTTTATACACATTTCTTGGTTTTAATCATATTTAAGACTTTCAGGAAATATCAAAAATCAATGTAATTTGAATATAT